TCATCATCATCATCATCATCATCATCATCATCATCATCATCATCATCTTTCTTTTTTTGGCGGGGGGAATCTTGTTCTATTACATGATAACTGATAAAGCATGTTTATACAGTTTGGTTGTAATTATGTAACTTGTTTGGTCCTCCAAGCAGTGTTGATATTGACATGAACCCACCACGATACTGGCCTTTGCTGCAACTCGGACAATCATCATCCTTAGCCAGATGGTTGAAATCTAGGAATCTAGGCTCATGTGGCCACCAACATCGCCCAACTGGGAGATGAGAGTTCTCTATTTTTAACGCTCTCTCTCTCTCTCTGTCTCTCTCTCTCTCTCTCTCGTTTTCTCTCTTTTCGCACGCCAAAGCCCGGGCAGATCACGGCAGCTGCGGTGGCGCGGAGGTTGACTCAGCTGCGGGTGAACCCCAAAGTGGTGAGCCCGCGGCAGCTGAGTTGGGACACTTGGCCAAGAGGAGTCGGCGGTCAGCTGCGCTGTGGGCACGAAGTCAGTCAGTCAGTCAGTCAGCCACCCCCAAAAAACGTGATGCCGGGGAGAGAAATAATAAACCAAAAGTGGACCGTAACACACCACAATTTAAATAAACTAGCTCAGTGGACCATAATAACACCAGTTTCAAGTTTCAACAAAAGTTTCAACACATGTCTAGTGGCGTGGCAGGTATTTCGTTTCTTTCGCACATTTCTTCCCAGTGACTAATGATTGACTAATGGATCTTTAAGTGGGCCTGCCGGACTGTGTTTTCGTCTCATGTTCAGTCAGGAAATCCATTGTATTCGTATATGTATTAATGATACAATGAGAGACCCTCGGCCAACAGCCAGTGGTGGAGCAGATTTAGAGAGAAGAAGAAACAACCTTATCACGTACGCAGAAGTATTTCTAGGAAGCTTCCATGTCCTTAGTGAGAGACGCCCCTAAAATCATGTTCGGTTCTAGGCCTTCTTCGGGGAAGACACGAGTGTCTTCTCAGGACTTGTCTGGTTTGGAGGTGGCTCCAGTCACCTACACCTTCAAGGCAAGGCGGGTTTGTGGTCAGCCGCCCCGATTCAGGTTCCTCTCTCGCAAAAAGACCGTGCACTCGTAAGTCGGGCTTGTGTTGCTGACCCCCCGACTGACCCTGCGTGAAACGAGAGGACATCTCCCCAAGCACGCCATGGGGCGGGAACATTGGATCTACATTGGGGGTTGGTTCGAGGGATCATGAGGGATCCATGTAAATAAAGATCTAGATGGTATATGTGTAATTATATGCATTGATAATTTATATGTGTATCCATCCTGCAACCTGAAACGACCACTTTTTGGTTGTTTCTTCAAACGACCATATATTTTTAAGACGACAAAAAAAAGGGTTTTTTCTTAAACGACCGTATTTTTGTCAATTATGATGTTCATATATTATAAATCAGTCACTATGCATGTCAAGTATTTGTGAAATCGTATACGATCGTATACGACCATAAATTTCTGGAAACGACCGTATATTTTTCGAACCACGGCCGTATTTTGTTGAAACGACCGTATATTCTTCGAAATACGACCGTATACGGGCCGTATGCAAACCGTATAAAAACGTATACGACCAAATTTTTCATGTCTAAAATGACTGCAAGATAAAACGACCGTATTTTTTTTGGAAACGACCAAAAACAATGGTTGTTTTCAAAACCCAAAAATGTGGTCGTTTCGGGTTGCAGGATGTAATTATAACGAAATAAACACATATACTCCATGTGCCGGGGCATGTGTGTGTGGCACCTGCTTACGCAGAAATCGAAGATTTCACGACAAAGTTCATCGAAGCAGTGTGTCTTTGGCTTCCTAGGTGGTGAAAACTCATTACTGCAAGCAGCTAAGAAGAAGTATTGAAAACTATCTGAAAAAAACGAGCTTGCTTATAATCGTGAACCTGATAGGGTGAGCAACGCAATGCTGGACATGTGTTGAATTGTGTTGATGATTGTTACTTTTCCTGGATTCCCACCCAGCAGTGATTCTTAAGAGGTCAGTTGAAGAGTCAGTTGGTTTTGAACATGTTTTTAAGTTGTGCAATGCTCTTGGCCTCTTAGAAAATCTGCTTGGTGCTGTTTGGATGATTGGACTTGGCTGCAGCAGGGTCCTCCCGACTCGGCCCCCTTTCTTCACTCACCACCCCTCGCCCGCTTCCTCGGATTGGTTTCTCGGGGTGTCACAACGAATGCGCAGGTGCCCTTCGAAGTGGAGGTCCAGCAGGTGCCGTTCGAGGCCGCTGCCGACTTTGTCCTGGAAATGATGCTTGGCTTTGAGCGGGGCCCGGGTCCTCCCTTCGGAGCCGGTGCCTTCTTCGTCTTGGAGGGCCGAGGGGAAGGGGGTGCGAGTCTTGTGATCAACGATCCACGGGATGAAACAAGGCTTTTGGAGCTGCTGGCTTGTTGGCTTCGGTAGAGAAGTTGGTTTCTTCGGTCCTCATGCTGTTGAGTTGGAAGTGGAGTTGGATCCTAAGTGCCTAAGTGCACATCACACTCCTAAGACTGAACACTTTCACTGGCTTAGGATGCATCCATTTGTGCCTTAGATCGGCCTTTCGGAGTGAACTATGCCCGCGGCTTCCGCTAAACAGCCAGGACCAACAGGTCCAGTAGCGAATCGGTTCACCTGTTGCAATCCTTGGGTGTAGGTTTTATGAGGGTTGAAGGGGGGATGAAGGGATGGGATCCTCATAGGATTTGATCTACTTGTGGACCTTGTGGGATCCTCATAGAGTTTTGATCCAGGCAGTGTTGCAGTTTCCTTTGGTCCCGCCCTGGAGATCCTCCACTTTCAGCGATGGTGAGTCACTGAAACGCCAAAAAGCTTGGCGCGAAAGTGCTTGGGCCCGGGGACGTCTGTGCAATCCCGATGAACACAATCTGGCACGAGAGTTGTTTTTCGTCTCCTTGTCACTAACGGAGTGACATCAACTGCCTACATCAAAGAGCCGTTGAGCTCTGAGCGAACGGCGGCACGTGGCACCTGTGACCCCGGTCTCCCAGCGTCGCCGTTCGGACGGACCCCAACAAGGACCGTGGCTTCGGAACCATGACGAGGACGCCCCCCCCAAGAAAGGGGACTATAGGATGGACTCCAGGTGACTTGGTCCAAAACGGAGGATCCAAAGATCCTTTTCTGCTGTGAATCCTCCACCTGAAGCCGCACCAAGACCAAAGCGCGCCTCCTCGCGGTAACTTCCGGGTCCGCGCGGAGCCGCTCCGCTGCCCCCCCAGGAGCGGCGGCGGCGGCCTGGCGGGCGCGAAGCGCTTCGCGGCGCCCATTCTCAGGAGCTTGGTGGGCGCCTCGATGAGGCCTGGAGTAGGGGTGGGGTTTTCAGGTGCCTTTTTCTATGGAAAGGGGATTGGAAGGAGTGCAAGGTAAGACCGGGGAGGTTTAGTAAAAGCACGTGTTCTGGGTGGAAGTAGAAGTGGTGGAGTGATTTCTGCTCCTTTCCTGTTGATCTGGCAGTGGCATGAAATATAGAGAGGGAGGAAGGGCAGGGGAGAGAGAGGGAGAGAGACAGAGAAAAAGAACGACTACATAGTCCAGTTGCCTAGTTGGTAAGAAGTAGATTCGCTTCGCTGACACACTGCGACCTGGAAGGCTTTGAATGTCACCAGGGACGATGGCTCAAGAAGAATTCGGTGCATTGTGGCACCGAGCACCACATTGTGTCGAACCGTTCTGATAGTGACTCATGGTGACACACTTGTCCACATCCACATGGCAAGAGCCCCTTTGATGAGGAATCTTTTGGACGGACGGCCAGGGGGAAGCATCATGGGGGGCCATGAGCCCCTCTCACAGGAAATTTGAGTGTGCTCACTAGTGGGTGTGAGAGCCCAGAGACCATGGATTCCATCCCTCAGTCCGTCCCTCCCTCCGTCTTACCTACCTGCCTAACCTAACCTAACCTAACCTAACCCAACCCAACCCAACCCAACCCAACCCAACCCAACCCAACCCAACCCAACCTACCAACCAACCTACCTCCCTACCTACCAGTGACTATATAATTGGACATGGAACAGTCTTGAGCACCTTCTAGAGGTCTAGGACGGATGCGCCTTCATAGAATGCCGCATGGAGTGTTGGATCCCCCCTCCACAAGACGACGCACATTGAACCAATGTCCTTTGCCCGCTGCGGATGAGCCAAGAGTTGGTTGGAGCATGTCAGAGCCAGGGTTTGAGATGTGGTTTTGTGGTGCGCAGTTGCACAGTGATTTGGGATGTAGGGGAAGAACATCAGTTGATGAAACTGGCAGCTCCGGAATCAACTGAACATGCGAATGCGAAGGATTTCTGTTGAACTCGTGTTGAGTCCGAGCTACTGAGCCATTGAAAAGATGAGCTATTGAGCCATGTGGGTGACACTCCTGAACACTCACATTGACGCGGCCACATTGACGCGGCGACCCGCGTGGCAACCCTGAGTCCGAAAACCGTTCTCCTCGACTCCCACCGACGTGGGTTTTCAGGGTCCATGGGATCGTCGAGGTGCCCAGCAGGCCCAGCAGTGCTCGGCACCTGCCGTGTGCAGGTGCAACTCTCAACACGTGGGCGCTTTCACAGAGCTGCGCTTTCACATTCCGCTGGGCGCACCTCTGCCGAAGGTGCAGGGCACCTCTTCGGGAAGGGAGAGCCGGAACGTGTTTTTTCCCCTTAAGCGGATCGAGTTGCAAATTTTTTGGGAAGCCAGGCGAATGAATGAGCTCCTGAGGAAGGTAGGGTGAGGATTAGATTAGATGGGACTTTGCGAGGGCATCGTTAACATTCGATGCTCCTCATGGAAGCAAGACACAGACAGATACATATTGGTTCTGTCCTATTGCCTGTAACAGCCGGTAAACCGGAAACTTAAAAAAACTTTACCATACTTTACCTGTATCATACTAGGACCAACTCTGCCTGTCTCATGCGCGAACGCAGTGCTGATGCAAAAATTCTCAAACCGTGGTAGGGCAAAACACCCGCATAACCATATATACATATACACAATTATACATACATAGACATCTCAGCATCACGAGGATTCTCAGCAACTCTCCGTAGTCTCCCAGTTTGATGTTCTTGAACACCATGACGGCTTTCCTGTCAAGTCGCTGGCAAATCGTTTCGAGAAATCGCGCACATGTGCGGCCAAAAATTACCGAGCGGGCACGAGTTGGTGCCTGGTGCCTGGTGCCTGGTGCGAACTCAGCTCCTAAGCCTTTTTGTGGCACGTCCTGTGGAGCATGCAGAGGTGAACCCCTCGCGGGGGTGATTGAATCAGCCCTCGCCGCGGCAGGAGAGCATGTTGCTCCTCCAGGCAGATGTGTCCACTCCAGGACTCACCCTTCATTGCCCCATGCAGGCGGGGTCTCGACCCCCGTTTGGGGAGACGGACTTGTCCTCAGCGGTTTACCATGGTTTACCGTGGTTTACCTCCAAGCACAGCAGCAAGACATTTGCATGGCTTTGTGGCTTTGAACTTCAGCCACCGGCTCTGGCTGGGTCTAGTTATAGTTTGCTTTGTTCTTACTCTCTCCACTTTGCGCACAGCTCCCAACGCTCCTCGAGAGGCCCTTCTCTTTTGGGGGGTGCTGGAGGGTTGGTTTGTTCTTGCCAAAAAGTGGTGATGAGCTTCCAAACAGCTGTCCAAACACCTGTTGTGATGATGAAAACAACAGTTGTTTGGTTTGTTTACTTTGGTGACGAACACTTCCAAACACCTGTCCACGGTCGGCCGCTCAAGGCGGAAGAGGCGCCTGGCTGGGTCCCTGACAGCGTGGCCTGCCACTGGGGACGAAGCAGCGGCTGAGTACGGAGGGACAAGCAGGGTGTGGTAGGAGGGAGGGCAGACGTGCAGATAAGATATGACAAGATCTTCAGTAAGATTCCAGATACCTTCCCAAACTGGAAGATATTGGGAAAACATACTGTATTTGATTTTCCTCCTTTGCCGATTGAGTTCACTTCACATTTGCGCTGAAGAGCCCCTTGAGATCAAGGATCAATGTATCACATGCGCATCCTGCCACTCGCCAGGATTCCAGCCTGCCTTGTTTTGGCACATCTTTCAAACGTTTTGTTTGCATCTGGCTAACCTAAGAATTGGTTCAACCTTGTTTTGCAACCCTGATGGAACAAGAACATATATTACAGAGCCTCGAAAGACATATCTGACATATCCAAGGTTCACTCGTATTTGGTCAACTCAGGCTCTCGTTCAGACAACCCAGGCCAAGGATGGCCAGAGATTCTTTTGTTTGGAACTATCAAGTCCCTCCCTTCCGACTCCAGGCATGCTTCCAATCATGGTCCATCCAATGCTCTCAAACGCGTCGAAGCCTATCCAAGAGGAGTCAGGAGCTTCCCAGATCGATCAAGGAGGGCGGATCTCGATGGATCATGACTCAGGCGCCATCGTCTCCGTTTCAGCATCGTTCGCCTGGCAGCTGACGTCCAGCGTTGGCTGGGCTGCCGGGTGTGGAAGCCCAGAGACGTGGAAGACGTGGGAGGGAGGGCAGGCAGGCAGGCAGATGGCCTGAAGGATGCTCCGTCCGAGGGGCGAAATCCGGATGTACAGTGGTTTCAGAGGTTCGATGGCGCAAACTTGCAAACCCAAAGATGTTTTTATACAGGGTCCAGTACAGGGTAAATATAAACCACCTCTTGGATCTCTTGGGGCATTGTGCCATCTACTCTGAAACCACTGTACATGAGATGCGCCCGGCCCTTCCGAACGAGCTCCTATCCACTCCGCTAGGTCCTATGTGCTGCGGGGCCAAGCATCCCACGTGGCGGGAATCAGTTGGACCATCTCCAGTTACAGCCCTGAAGGACGGAGGGCCAGTGACGCTGGGGCCAAGCTGTGCAGTTCGACTCAAGTGCCCGTTTCCACGGGACATCTTGGAAGTGTGGACTTTTGCAGACGAATTGCACAAACATTCTTTGGACACTATATGCTGCTTTCTTCGATGTTGCTGATCTAGATGTCTCATCACCCCATTGCCATTCGAGCAGTTAGGCAAGAATGTTCATAACTCGCCTTCATGATTTTTCAAGAGCGGCTGATCAGTTGAGCCAACTACCCTCCTCAGATGTCAGTTCAGAAGTCCAATTTGAACCATGACTTCGGTGTTCGTCTCGATTGCCACCTCAGTCCCATGATCTCCATGGTGGCCATTGGAAGACCTCCAAAACGTCCGTCCGGTGAGTCGGTGAGTCGCACCCGGACGGCCGATGATCCCTCCAGGGTCTGGTGGACTGGTCGCCAGGAGATCCCTTGGATGCGCCGGGCACAGCGGGATGCCCGCAGAGCCACTGGGCCTGGCGACCGACTGGGCTGGAAGAGTTGGACTAACCGAAGGTTGGGCGCAACCGAAGGTTGGGGGCACGGTGAGGGGGGAGGTTTCATGAAACCTACAGAAGATTGCAGTCATATGTTGTAATCAGGTTGTGCCATGCTTGACCCCGAATGATGAGAATGCCTCTTGCCGAATTCATGCCGACTAAAGATCTTACTATCTAGTAATAACTATATGTTTATAGTTTTAATTACGTGTTGAGATTCGAGATTTTTGGGCCAACCCGTTGCAGAAAAAGAGGATGCCCTGGAGGCTTCCCGGCTGGAGGCTTCCGGGTTCCCAGTGGTGGAGGTCGGAGATGTCGAAGGTGTTTCCCAGTGGCGGAACTTCCAGCATCTTCCCGACTGGCCGGATGCTGGACATGCCATTTCTGAACATGATTATACAGACTGGACATGACATGCCTTGTACCACCTGCGGCAAAGATGCATGAATCCCTAAGGCTCCGGCTGAGACCTTTCACCTCAGGGTGGCATGCATGGTCTCTGAGGTGAACTTTTGCCGTCCTCCTTGGATTTCTCCACGGCGAGCCACAAGCCCCGACAGCCCACAGAGGCGTGGATCCAGGGACCGGTTCGTTCTGGCGCCGCCCGAAAAGCGCCACCCGCCCGAACGGCAGTGGGTTCAATTCACGGCGGGACAGAACAGGACACCAGAAATTCCAAGTTTTTGTTGGGTCAAGATATGCGAAGACCTTCTCAGTAATTCTTGACGGTGACGGCTGACGTTGATTTCTGCACCCCGCCACCAGAACAGCAAAACATCTCGATATGGAGGGTTAATGTGAGTTCATGGCGGTTTTATTCATCAATTCAATATGATGTCATTTCATTATACAGACCTCCCCAAGAGATATATAAGTAGATCCCCACCAAAAAGGACACTGGACACTGTTTCTATCTATTTGGGGATCGCTATAACCAGCTCCAAAGATGTTCGATCCTTCTACGCCTTTACTCCTTTTATGCGGCTTTGGACTCTGAACAGAATCGCGCCTTTTCCCCACAGCTGTGAAGGGGGAAGACTTCGGGGCTTGGTGGATGCGTGTTTTGAACATGGGTTTTCAGTATAGAAGTCTGCTGAATTCTTTCGCTCCCTTCTCTTCAAACTTACAAAGGGAAGCAGGGCCTTTGGTTGGAGTTTGTTTCCTCTCGGGGGGGAGGGGCCTCCACAATGTCCTCCATCTTTCTGACTCGCCCGGATTGCCATGTATGACTTTAGGGGTGCCATATGCCCCGCCAGGTCTTCTTCACCTTAGAGCTTCCAGAGGCAATTGCGGCTGGATCATCTCTGACCGTGCGCGCTCCAAGCGGCTATGTGCTGCGCGCAGAGGCTCAGCCCAACTGCGCGCAGAGGCTCAGAAGGTCCTGTTGAAGAGCATGAACCCCTGGGCAGAACGACAGAACGAACCCTTGGGTTCACAACTGAACCATCTCGTTCGGCTGCATGTGAATAAACAAGGTCACCAATCCAGAAGTCCAACGATGATCAAGAGTTATTTTGCCCCATTGAAATAAAGGAGGCTCCTTTTTGGGCCACCTATATAGTCATGTCATACCATGCTTTTGATGTTTTTTGATTCATCAAGAAATCGGTCTTGGGAAGCGCCGCCAAATGCTTCAGGGGTGTGTCCTCCAAGATGTTATGGTTGTTTGAATGAACTTGACCCCCACATTTCTGAACTACACCTGGTTGCGCACATATATACATATATATATATACATATCCTCCGATCACGCATCCCATTGATTCGTTTCCTTGTGGGAGGAGATCAGGGAGGTTCTCACAGTTGTGGTCCCAGACCACTGTGTGTTTGACATGGGTGTGGTTGGTCCTGCAACATGAATGACCGTGGGTCAGTTTCTGAAGGCATGTCCTGGAGGTTTCTCAAGGGTTTTTTGTTGCGTCAAGAACGCCAAGAAGAACCGATGTCATGGGTTCTATGCCACACCGTCCTTCACCCTACACCTCCAAGTACCTCCTTAGAAGGTATGACTGGACCCTCCTGGCACCCACCCCAGCCCCACCGAACCTAAACGAAGGTACGACTGGAGGCCAAACGGGTCACGTGATGTGGGCTCTTCGAGACTGCCCGGGCCTGATGTTCGACCCGGAATGGGCCGGCCCTTCCGGTGGTGTCCCCAGCAGCTCCAGCGTCAGAATGAGCCAGAACTGACGTTGAAAAGGCTCCTTACCCTCGGTCCACACCACAATAGATAGACAACTTGACAACGCAAAGAGCTTGAAACAACGCAAGCACTGGCTGAAGTGGAGCTATATAGTTCCTTTGACATGTTCACATTTAGTCATGGGTTCAGCAGGTGGTTCCCATGCAAGATCACTAGAACATTTCGCGACATGTAGTGGCATAGATGCTACTAGCTTCTTCATCTTCTTCTGAGCACTGATCGGGAATAACTAGGCACTCAGGAAGTTCGTGATCTCAGAAGCACAGCTAAAATCAATGACCCAGATTCAACATGCTTTAGGTTCATCTCTTCCCTGGCACCTCCATGCGGCCCAGCCCCATCGCTGTTGCCCTGGGGCTGTCGTTGTTCTTGGCGCTGACATGTTTCTACCGCGTGGGCGTCGTTGTTTTCGCACCGCTCGACCCGGCGGACGGGGAGGCCGCGGCTGAGGCGCGGAGCGGCGCGGGAAGCGCGCAGAGAGAGGCGCGCAATGGATCGAATGTCTCCACGGTGCCGACCAAGCGGCCAATGAACTGTTTGAGCTTTCGACAAGCGCATCCCAGCCGGGCGCCTGAGAAGTTTGACCGAATCTATGGTCAGCATTCGAGTCGATGGCTGGATGCTTATGTGATCCCAGATGCACAGGTGATTTTCTGTCAGATTCACAAAGTCGGCTCCACCAAGTGGCTTCGCCTCTTGCGCTGGCTTGATGGGCAAGATTACAACATGTTTCCCCATTGGTGGTTTGGGAACCGCCCCGGGAACTTGACGACCTTGAGACACTTGGGAAGAAAACGGGCCCTGGAGATGATGTTCGACCCCAACTGGACGAAGATTGTGGCCATTCGCGACCCCCTGGATCGCTTGCGCTCCGCATATTTCAGCAAAGTGGCCAGAAGTTGGCCCCTTCCGAATGAATCTGCTGCGGTCTTTGCAAGGGAATTGAATGTAACCATTGAAGGCCTGAGGACAGTGAGTTTCGCTGATTTCCTGGTGCGGGTGGAGAATCTCATGAGGGAACATTCTTTTGCAGATCCACACTGGCGGAAACAATCTGATGCGTGTTCCCTAGGACATTTCAAGAAATGTTATGACTATGTCATGTTCATGGATCGGGACAAAAGTACGCACAAGGAGCTGGCCAACTGTGCCATGCAAGCCATGCTGAGCAAGATGAGTGAGTCCAACAAGCACCGCTTGCAGAATATCACCGAAACGGATCATACCAAGGCTGCAGAGCGTGAGCATCGAACGGATTCGACTCATGATGTTTGGGACTTTGACCTCTGCCGCCGAGCACTGCTCTTGTACACGGATGACTACAACCTCTTTCCCATTCCCCGGCCAACGTGCCACCGAGATCCTCCATACGTGAGGTGGCCAAGTTGATGTGTGATGCCCGTTTCACCGGCGGACGTCCGGACCTTCCGCCTCAGCCCAAAAACAGATGTGGCGCACCCCGCCTTGGCCTGCGGGTCCGGAGCTGGGGTCGTTTGCACATTGGTCGCGGAGTGTTTCAAGGACAGGTTTTGGATTTGGAGAAGGCTGTAACGAAGTCGCCAGATTCATGGACCATGTTGGACCCCTCAGTCAGTGAAGCACACCCCGAAGAAGATGAGGACTCCTAGCCTGGCAGCGTCGTTTTTGGAAGGAATTCCCATCTTTCAACGTCTTCTTTTGGATGTTTGGAGTGCTTCTTCGAGGCTTGTGTGGGACATGTGACGTCAACATCCCACCTGGGCCACCACAACAAAGCCACGGGTGTTCAGGTCCTCATCCTGATTATTGAGTTCCCATGCGCCCCCTGTCGCCCGAATTTTTGTTCCTTGGGTGTTCTCCACACATGCAGACGTTGAGTCGAGGACTGTTCCGTGGACCTTTTGGTGGCGAGTGGCAACCACTCCAGTGCCATTGCTGCCTCCCAGCGCTGCATGGGGGAGGCCTCCACAGCGGAAGTGCTACTTGCGGAGGCCTTTTTTCTGCTGTGGAGGTAGGCAGGTGAAGGGTGTGGGTCGACTTAACCTTCACCCAACATTGGCTGGAGGACTAGGGTTTGATAGAGATGACATTTACAGTCTACATAGTAAATCATAGTAATATATGGATGATAATAGACGATAGCTTTTCCCTTCATTATCCTCTAACTACAGACCGTAGATCGTTTATCATCATCTATCAACGTTTGTGTTGGGAGGGCATCTCAGACTGGAACAGACAAAGGGGGAGGTGCCGCACCGTATTTCCGTTTTGCGGAATGGGATCCAAACGGCTTTTCTCACACCTAGCGATTTTGGATCGTTTTGGCTTAGCAGAACCTGGTTTGGGGCTGAGTAACACACACACACATGGTGCATTGAAATGCATTGAAGCAGAAGCTGTGGTTGAGCCGCAGAAGTTGAAAGGGGCAGCCAAGTCAAATATCCTGTCCTGCTATTCTTTCTCTTCTTTCATTTGGTCGAGAAATCATCGGTTCGGTGATAGAGACAGGGAGAGACGGGGGAGAACGAGTCAGATTTCACTCCGTGCTCTTGGAGTTGAGGCAAAAGCTTCAGTTCAACCAAGATGACAGTGCCCTCCACCATTTTTGGTCCGTCCAGGGGTGAAGACCAATCACAGGCGTTGTAGAACGCAATACTTTGTTCTGAAGAGCACAGGCACCACGCGAGGCATCCGGTCGCCAGTGGTGTCGGGTGCCGTGAGCCCGGTCGCCACAACAACTGGCGTTCTTGCGTCGGAAGCAGTTTTGTTACGGCATTTGCTTCGCCCTGGAAGTGTAGGCCGGGGTCTTGTGGTAGACACACCAATTCACCCAGCGTCGACGGTAGCAAGGCCCGAGAAGGCCTGAGGAGGCACTCAAACACATGGAGCGGCATGGAACTTTTGAGCGGCTCAAATGCCAGGCCCTTGCGTCCGGGCCGCATGCCTTTGGCTTGCGGCTCACGAATCCCAGCCGTCAACCGATCCTGCGACTGGGCGCGGAGATCGCTTGGATGACGGGCACCGGTTTTGTATAGTTTGTCAGGTGTGCCCCGTATGGGCCGAACAATGAGTGGCCAGTGGATGCCAGTGGAAGGGTGGCTTGATTATCATCAAGTTTTGCATTTATCACAGGTGTCCTTGCATTTTGTACTGTGAGAGGAGGGCTCAAAGCCGGGGGACTGACCTGGATTCATGGGCGAGTGCAGATTCCCTTAGATTCCCTGCATTTCCCTGCATTTCGTGGGTTGGGAGGTCTCAAAGTGCAGAGTTGATAGAACTTTCTGACTAGTCCTTGCCCCTACCAGAATGACTGCGCAGCCAGCCTCCGACCCACGTCCCACCTCCAATCCTTGGGGCCCGTCACCAGTGCCACTGACCAAACGAGAGCCCAATATAAGCGAGCACTTAGCTCACCATATCGTGTCTCCAGGGGCCCTGGGGCCCTGTCGTATACATCTTCGTCGCTCCGCCGACCTTCGTCGGTTCGCTTCGCAGATCGGATTGGCCACCAGGCGGATCCAGGAGTTGACTCCAGTGCGAAGTAACCCGAAGTCACCCCCTCATTGATCAATACACCATGGATCTGAAACAGCAGGTTGGAGGCTTATATAGATTTACATCGATGTTTATAGTCGACCTGTTCTGGACTTGAAACGTGCCCCATTCAAGACGTCGACACCCTGGCCGTCGTTGGGCTTCAAAGCCAAAAGCCCGCACGTGTCCGGACAGGAATACGTGGGTCTTAGAGCTCAGTGAGCCCAGCGGCTTCCACCGTTGGAGCTCCCGACCCTTGGATGGGCTCCTCGGTGATGAAGAAGCGATCCTGGTTGACATGTTGAAGCCGTCCGACGGGTGAAACATGGTGGAACCGTTGAAGGCTCGAGAAGAGATCAAGACTCGAGATTAGAAAGCCGAGATGGAGGAAGATATGCCAGGCAAACAGAGACGCGCATCAAGGGGTTTTGTTGAGGGCACCTATTGGGTGTGCGGCACATGGGACGCAGAGGGGACCAACCAGAGTGCTTTGAAGCATGCATTTATTTCTGAACAGCTGCCCCGGTATTTTTCTTGTCTCTCGGACCATTGAATTGCTATGTATGGTTCGCCGGACTTGGGCAGCAATTCTTGTTCTCGTGGTACTTTTTTTGCGTGTTTGCTTTTAGGTTCTTTTGGATTTGATTTGATCATAAAACACATCACTTGCCTGCGAGCCTCGGCGGCTCGTTTTCCCTGTTTCTTCCAAGCCTGGCCTGTGCTTCGGTCGCCCATTCGTCTCTTGGCCGCTTCCGCTTCGTGTCAGGTACCCCTTGGCAGAAATCCAATTCCCTCGACCGCTGGACGCCGTGAATACTGCACTGAACACCGGTGGAATGGCAGACGCGGCGCCGGTGGGGATTTTCTTCGAGTCTTGCCTGTGAATGGCACAGCGCTAGGGGTTCACGTTGGGGAGACTGCAAAAGTAGGTGGAGCATAGTGAAGCAGTTGACCGTTCGAACAGGGAGATTCAGTTTGGTGAGTGCGGTTGGGAGTTGACAAGGAGTGTGGGTGTGAGGTGAGTGGGAGGAGATACCAACAAACCCTATAACATCCATAACCAATTTAATGGTTGGGGGGGTGTACATATATACTGTATATAATGTATATATATATATATAATAGGAGATTTTGAAGTGGAGAAATGGTGAGATGGTGCGCTTTGTATAGCAATGGGTTGTAAGAAATGCGATGAGACACATCAGATTGTTTCAAGCAAACTGCCCCAGTAGCTGATGTCTCAACCCCTAAAGCGGGACAGGTGACTTGGGGGTGCCTGTGAACCCATGGGGTGCACCCCGACAGTGCACTGCACACACATAATTACATTAGACAATCATAAGCATTATGCTTGGTATCACAGACCATCGCATCTTTGCAAGCTTTGTTTGGTGACTTCTCAATGATTTGCAGTTCCCCTTGTCAAATTGGTAGTTCAACATAGTTTGACCTTTTTGGACTTCGTGCCACATATTATTCCGAAACCAGCCCTTTGTCCCTTAGCTTGGCCTGCGAACACCATGTCGGCGATGGTCAGTGCCGTGCTCTCGACGCTCTGCGTGGATGTGAGGTCCTCCAGACGCCCGCCCATGCGCTGCGCATCATGGCGCCCGCGCAGCACCAGTTGGGCTCGCTGCTGTCCCTGAAGAGCACCACCCACATGTTCACCACCTCTGTGGAGGCACCGGGCCCAACCGGGCCGAGGTGGACCACGTCAACTGCACACTAGGTGGTGTCGGCTGAAGTGTCGTCGACGGCCGCCGTCGCGGCGTCAGGTGTTTGGACATACCGCAGACGTGAAGATTGCCACAGGTCTTGAGCCCGGCCTCACCTATAGCAGCCTGGCCGCAAACACGGGAGAAGCAACCAGCACTCGGCGAACACGTGACGAAACGCCAAGCCAAGCCAACCAAGGGCTACTTGTCAGCGGCATAGAATGCGGGAAAGAGTTGAAGCATGAGTCAAAATGAGCTCATTTGATAGTTGCACACCCGGCGGCGCCGGTGGCATGTTGTAGGCATTTCCGGAATTCTGGAGCATATGCCAGAGATTGCCAGAGTAATTAAAGGATATTAAAGGATATTATAGCACACGTAAGACGGCTTGTGTCCTCATGGCTTAAAGAAGGAGTTCCCCAACACTAACACCCTTTTTCTATTTTTTTCTGCTTTGGGGCGGCCAGTCTGTGCAGCGAGGTCTCTACATTCTGACCTCCAATCCCACTGCACAGGTGGGTGGTGCCACCTGGTCGCTTGGGTCGCAGAGAGGGCAGTTTCATCCGAAGGAGATGATGAGGGCAGTGGTTAAACCAGTGGCAAGATGACCGGGAGCCCCCGCTTCTTTCTTGGGAGATCAACATTCAAAAGTGCGCCACCAAAGGTTCAAGAACTCAGGTCCCACAGTGGTCCAGGAAAGCGGCTGAACTTGATTTCCAGCCACATTCAACACCTGTGAATACTTCGAGATGGACGGATTGTGATTTCTCATGATTTCGTCTCACATTCTCTAACACCCCACGCCCAAAAACGCCCCCACGAAAGGGTGAAAGGATGAAACCATTGGACCTGGTCTTTCGTCGGTTCAGGTCACCCAGATGAACAAGAGACGACCCACACGTCGAAGCGGGGGAACACCCCAGCGAGGTCCGGTCCGGTTCGGGCCAGCGAGGTCTTTGGAGTCCTTCGGAGCGCGAAGCGAGCCCCTGGACCAGGGCGAGGTGCGCCCCTTTGAAGTGGACGGAGGGCGAGGATGGCTCGTTCGTTGGAGAGCGGCAACGAAGAAACGAGCAAAATGGAGCAAAGAACCGGAGAACCGGAGGCATGGAAAGGCACTGAACAGTGCTGAAAACCATAGACCCTTTTTGTTTTTGATCCTTTTTACGTTGCTTTCTAGATTCCAACTGCTTGGACTGTATATAAGGAACTTTTGATGGTCCCAACGAAGCCCGTCAACGGTGCGTTCTTATTCCGGTCATCATTTTTCTGATGCGAGAGGCATTCATGGTGCAATCACACCCGCGAATTCAGATGGCGGAGCCCCGACCCATCGTCGTCCAATCCTGATCCACGCGTGAGCGTCGAAAGCTGCAAGGTGGCCTCCTTCGAGTTGTTCCCTGCTGCAGACTTCCAAGTGGCTGCTGGGCAGAATTCGAGGCACTTCGAGGCGCTGGGGGGTTCTCCCATTCTCCCATGTGTGGGAGCGGGAAGAAACTGGCTTTTTGCAAGGCTTTGCCGGGTATTCCAGGAATTCTGAAGATTCCTGGAGGAATCAGCGACGTGGAAAAACAATTTCCTCACCACATTCGATGCACGACCCTGCCCTTGAGTTGAATCGTGTTTCATCGGCTTTGGTCTTCGATTTGAAATGCAATGGAATGCACGTTGCTTGCACCTTCGCGCCTGTGTGAGCCACTGTCATGCTCAGCTGCCTTCTGGCTTCGCATTCCTTCAGTTAGGCCGCCCTTCGCCCCCTTGATATCAACCAAGGTGAACTTGGGCGAGGAATACAGCAACCAAGAGATCACCGTGCAGTTGACTTGCACCCTGCCGAGCGACCTGCACTTTGGAGACTCCTTGCTGGTCCAGGCGCCTATGGCATGTGGTGGTGCCACGCTCATCCACATGGTTTGTGGTTTGGATGGGTTCAACTTGGGCATCTGAAGCGAATGGCATGCCACCATTCCTGAGATCCTGGTTTCGGTTTGGTTGCTTCTTGCGGGCAGAAACCATTTGAAGTCATTCGACTGGTGGAGCAAGACCGAGTTTAGAGCGGTTTACGGTCAAGGATTTTTGTTCGAGAAGGGGGTTGCAAACCCTGTGCCAGAGCCTAAGGGCCCAAGGGCAGACGGTTCTAAGTTGCTAGAAGCAAGTGTGTTGCATAGAAAAGACAGGGGTCGTTGATGTTGAGATTTCCGAAAGACCCTACTGTATATATATATATACTTCTCCCAAACTTTTGGCACCCTCCAATTCAGTGCCACCCGCCCCGTAGCCATATGTCCTCGCCTAGGCGCCACCAGGCTTTCCCTTGGCTGACTTCCAATGGCTGGGCCCCACGGTGTCGCTGTCAGCGGAGATTTGGTGCCATTTTGGGCCTTGCCACTGGGCTGTTGAGGACCGGTTGGGCGAAGACTTCAGTCTGGGGACGGGCGCCGAGTTGGTCGCCTCGCCTGCTCACTCACTGACAGAGCACACGCGCGCCCGCGGAGGAAACCCTTCAGACCGGAAGCGCCCGTTGGCCTGGAGAAACCTCGATGTCCGACGCGTTCCTCACATTTCCTCACCTGTTCATCCGCTGTTTGGCGAGACCGGTGACCGGGGATGCAGACTCTTCGCCCCCTCTTTCGGCTGCCCATTCCGTTCTGTGCCAGTGCATCACAGCGCCCATTCCGTTCGAACAGTGCCAATGCGGGGAGCGGTCGCGCCGAAATCAGTATATAAATCAGTATTTTCATCGCCAAGTTGCAAGATGAATGATGGTATACATATATGTATGACATGCCAGTACCAGGCTTATGCAATCTTAAGTGCAATCTTACATACACACATACATACACACAATCTAGTCCCATATGATCCTCCGTCCACTAGCCTGGCTAGGATCCCATGGGCTTGAGCCCTTTCGCTAGTTGAGCCATATTGAGGAGATACAAGTACCCTAGATCAGGACCTTGTATATAAACTACTCAGGTGTTGGCTACCTATTATTTTAGCCAGGCCATGCAATGGATTTTAGCCATAGTGTATTTTGGGCACATCGTGTTGACAAAGTGGTCATGTTCAAATGCTTGTCATTGCTTTAGGTAGGCAGCAGGGGTATTCTTCTTGTTTGGATTGTGTGGAAATGTGACAAGGATGTAGGTTAAAGGTGATGTCCAAGACCTTCAAGATGTTCAAGAGCTACACATCTCCAAACTCCAGGTGGGAGGATTTACTGTAAGCCTTTGTGGTCAAGTCTTGCCAGGGTGTCACCAGACACCGTTTGTCACATGTCAATTTGGTTGGGTGCCTATATTTTTAGCTGTTGGTGGCTAAAATTTTTTTGCCAAAAAAAGAGGTTGGGCCCATGGTCGTTTAGCCACGGGTCCCTGTGTGCAACACATGGGGTTGGGTCCAAAACTTTTATGTGAAGATTGGTCAAATCAGGGCTTGACAACCTTCATGAACAACAAGAACATGTTGAATTCCTCTTTCTCGATCCGGAATAGCACGCCAATCAACCAACATCCAGCGTGCATACAAACTGAGCGCCAACATGGAGGAACATTATGACAAGCCTCCCCAAGTTAGAGTTGACCTGGAGAAACGTCGCACCCCCCATTGCAGTGGTTTCAGAGTAGATGGCGCAAGCCCAAGAAGATTGTTTTGCTGGGTCCATATTAACCACCATTTGTGCCTGTGCCATCTACTCTGAAACCACTGTAAGACTGGTGAACCGTATCAGATTTCTACGCCCACATGGGGAAAAGCAGTTCGGCCGGAAAAGACCCAAACGATTCAGCCAACTGTCAACTTAATGTCTGCAAATCTCCCATCAATGGTGACCCCGCACCAAAAAAAACAGAAGGTGACGGAAATGCCAAGTGGTTGAGCCCAGAGCTTCCCATGTCGTCCCCTGTTTTCATTTATGGTTCAGAAGACCATGGTGCTACCGCGGTCCTAGGGTGATCGCGTTGTCCACTCCAAGGCATTTTGTCTGTGGCCTTCCTCAGCACTTGGCAGGGTGCAGCTGGCGTCGCGTTCGCGGCAGCGGAGCCCATGCGCTTCACCGTGCGCGCGCGGAACCCCGCCAGATGCTGGGCTGCAGGGGCGGTGGTTGTGGTGTTGGTAGGGGACAAACACAAATGCATAATATAATATGTAAGAGTTGCAGGGCATCCTGGAGGTCCCATGGGGTTGGTGCTTGTGCTTGATGACCAATGAGCTAGGATCAACCTGGTTGTTCATTGGCTGGTGCTCACTGGGGGTATAGGATGGGGGTTTGACTGCCAGCGCTCCGCTAGTCAAAGAAGCAATCCTGAAAGTGAATCTCCAACCCCGCTCAAAGCACGGCTGAGGTGCTGCATATAGCATTCCAAGAACAGACAACCGTGGATGACCACTGATCCAGCATGATCCAGCAGCTTAAGCCACGGTCCTTCCCCCATGTTGTTCCTCATCGGACAAAGTGTACGCCATCCAGGGTCGTAACCTGCACTCTCCCGGACAGCCATTCAACGCGTTCTGTTTCCATGCCAGCCATTCAAATTGCATCAAATTGCAGATCTATGTGTTTTCCAGTTTGAGTGGATGCTTGGCCCAAGCCTTATGGCGACGGTGTCCTGTGTCCTCCCCTTCACTCCTCCGCGCCAGTCGCCGCGGCCGAAACGGAACCCAACGCTTCAACCGGCCCGGCCACCGGAGGCGCGCTGGAGCCTGAGAGTGCTTGGTGGCGCATGGACCAGCGCCGCGGCGGCGCGCGCCGGGCCACGGCCGTGGCGGCCAGACACTTGGGCTGGACGATGGATGGACGCCAGCGGCTCTGGCGTGCGCTGTCGCGCGTTCGCGAGATGGGGAGATCCCCGGTCTCACCCACTTGGTAGGCGACCTTCCGTCCCAAGTGAGTGCGTCCTGGTCTCGCAGTTGAACAGCCCGATGAGCTGTGTGGATCGTTGGGGCCGGGTGGGGCATGTGGGTAGGCGCATGCGGGGGTGGTTTGGCATGAGATGGATACAGGGAGGAGTTCTAAGTTCTAAGGGGTTGATTCTTGGATCAGCCAGTGAGTGGATAACTCAAGTGGATGCACCTCCACCCTCCAGGAGCAAGTCATTACATGCCTTTGTGTCATGTTGAGCTAGAGGGGCACAGCACAGAGTGTCCTTCAAGACTTGTTTGAAGAACTGTGACATGGCGGACCGCCGCTTCGTGCAAAGCAAGAGCATGCAAAGCGGAAAGGAGAGCAAGAAGAAAGGAAACACAATCACGATCCACGATCACGTCAAAAGTACACAGTGGAGACAACCCACATTGACATGACGTCCCTCCCGTTTCTTCCCAGTTCGCCCACTCGCCTGGCCTTCGCCTCTCCCAGGCTGGCCCATTCGCCCGGAGTTGTCCAGCGCCTCGCTGCAGCTGCTGGGTCCCTCCTTGGCAGCACTGGCGGTGGCGAGCCTGCGGCTCCGCTTTGTGCCCGCGGCCCGGCGGCGAACCCCCCGCGGTGGACGGCAGGGGGCAGTGGGGCGGACGGCGAGGTGAACCACCGGCGTTGTCGTGGCCGGGGCTTTCAGATGCTTGGGGATGTTCAATGATGAAGGGGAAGCTTGTTGGGGGAATGTCATAGTGTGTTTGGGAAGATTGCCTTTCTTCTATTTTTTGGGAGGGGCTTTTGGGAGGGGCTTGGTCCTTCAAGAGGTTGGATCCACACGGGTGCTATTTTGTTTGCCCAAGTGGTGCCTCGCAGCGGCAGGGGGCTTATGAGATTTTATGAGTTGACGTTTTGTATCAAATGGAACTGATGCACACACACACATAGATAAATTCACACTTGCATGTAGCTTGCGGATGCAAGTTTTATGTTCACTGAAGTTCACAAAATGTCCCACCGGGACATTTTGGCTCAAGTTGGTGGCAATCATCCAAAGGATTGCACCTGAACTTTGGAAGAAAACACTCCCCAGTACATCGGTTTTTAGTTCAACACGACGCAATGGCGCACCCGATGGAAGCGGAGTATGTCATGATTGAGTCTGTTCGTGATGCCCAACCAGACGTTGAGGATGCGGCTACGGTCAGTAGCCCGGGCATCGAGAGCTTGGACCAGGCAGCGGACGCTGCGTCTGCAGCCCTCCGTCATGCGGAGGCGGAAGGAGCGAGAGGCCTCGCCATTTTTGGACAGCCCGTTTTGGTTTCTGAGCTGGACGCTCAGGCACAGATTCGAGAGTTGGAGCGCCACCTGGAAGCACTCAAGGTCCAGATCGCGGAGCGCGAAGACGCGGACATGGGCGTGGACCTCCTGGGGTTACAGGACCCTGCTGATGGCGGCGCTGGCCACCCCCCCTCTGCTCCTGGTGCCTCTGGCCCAGCGGCGGGGGGGGTGGCACCTGCAGCAGCTGCGGCACCGACCACGAGCCCTACTACACCATCGGCGGCTGCGGCCCAGCCTTCAATTCTGACAACCCTGGCAGAACCACCGCTGGCTTGGCCTGTAACGGTGGAGCCACGCCCAGCTGCCCCCATTGAACAGATGGAGGAGGACACCACTGAGCGCGCGGGCTTAGGTTTCACGCCCCCTGCACCGGCAGGGTACCTGCACCACCCTTTGGTGCAGAAAAATTTGCTCGAGGCATCTTTCTTAGAAATTTGTTCGTTTCAGTGTTTTCCAAAGAAATACGCTCGTTTCTTTCTTCACAGATAAAAGCGCTCGAGTTGATGTGTGCACAGTACAAAGCACACTTGACAGCCATAGATTGATAGAGGCGAGCTGGAAGAGCTCACATGAGTGGTGTGATGCCAAAGAGTGATATGCACAAGGACAAGGATGAATTCTGGGATCAAGTGGCGTATGATGCCATTAAACGGTATCAACGAGCTACATTTATGCGGCATGCAACAACTTCTTGCAGCCATCATTTTTCCGCTTCATCTCAGCCAGTGCTTCTTCGACCACAAAGCTTTGTAGTGGCACAAAGCACGTTGAATGGTGCGCAGTGCTATGCACCAAGCATGGCAACGTCGGCTCATTCTGCAAACCTCAGTCAGTTGATCATGCACAGTTCAGGCAAGACTTGTCATTCACGCACACACATAACAAAAGAAGACAAGAAACTCGTCCAATGAAGTCTTCATCAAGCCATGTTTGATAGCCTCAGTAACAGCACAGTAACACCAACCATTCAAGTAGAACTCCAAACAGTCACGGGACACACTGGTGAGAGGATCCAATCCGCCTGGCCATCAGCAAGCTGATCGCACATCCACATCCTTACAAGGAGGATGAGCCCAATCAGCCGCTTCAAAATTACTGGAACATGTTCAAGTATGCAGAGCATGTATGTATATATCTAAACAAGCATTTTCTGCTTACACAGCACAGACAAAGCTGCCAGTAGCCCCGAGCTCACACTGTACCGCCGACATATTCGCATATTCAGGGTCCCGGCTCTAGCTAGAATATAGCGCAAAGTGACTCCATCGCCATAGAACCAAACAGGCCCTCTGACACAAGTTGCACAGACATCAAGCAATGAATAGATATATAGATATATACATATCACAAAAGCCTCTACTTGCCATGCGCTACATGCACAAAAGCCCACACATGACAGCACATGTCCAAGCTTCATGATCTCCTGCTGCATGTGCCCTTTGGGGCGCACTGCAAATAGCTTCCAGGACTTGCTGTTACAGTAGGTGTGCAAGGCGCTGATTCCTTCCTTTGCAGAAGGGATCTCAAAACAGTCAGTTGCATGAGCTACATAGCCAACAATCTGAAATAATGCCTGCAAGGTTCAGTGAAGGACTGACATGCTTCAACACATTGCTCAGCAACATGCCTTTCAAGCCATGTCTTGTGGCTCGGGATCAAATGAAAGTACTTGTCAATCTTCGCCAGGGTGAAGGAAAGTAGCGCCCATATATCTTTATCAACACCCTCAGCAGAAACCAGACAATCAACGGGTCCGTGAGCACAAGCTAACGTCATGACCGTCAAGGCAACATACTCTGAGCATCAACAGGCCATGCAACATTCTCTTCTGGTTGCACTGTTCGTACAACATGGAGGAGCCACTTTGAAACCACAGTGGTGTCATGGCCTTTCCATGAGCATTTGGGATAGTCTGACAGCCTGAATGTCGACCCACAGGCACAACAAGCACAAGCACACACACATACACTCACACTGAGAAAGTGCATCACAGTGAGTCAAGAAGCGACGTCATTTTGAAAGTGGCAAGCTCAAACTTTGTCAAAGAGGTGTTGCACTGCATGGTACGGCGCCAAACATCAAAGGATTCAAAGGCGCGGGACAAACGGGCTTCGATGTTGTTGCCTCCAAACAAGTGCCAGCGGCAGGCTAACAGAACCTCTGCAGTGCAGTGAAGCTGTATGTTAGGGACATGCTGCTTGCAAGCCATTTGGCCACCGTCAAAAAATTCTTTGCAAACACACTGTGAAAACTCATGCTACCATGGCACTATTGCTCCTGCACAAAACTCTCTTCCTATGCCATGATGCCATGTATGCATCTGGTCTGGTGGGCTGAAGCATGGGCCACAACCAGGAAGTTGATGCAGTAGAGGCTGTTCTCCCTCACGAACAGGATCTGCGCCTGGACGCTGGCTTCGCCACAAAGCTGATGTTTTCATATTGAACCAGTCCTGGGAGCACAGATCCAGCAGTTAAACGCACAAAGTCAAGTTGTTGGCAGCACTTGCCAAGTCACAGATGCATCACAGTAGTGACACTTTCGGCTTGATGTAAAGCCAGGCACAAGTTTGTGCGCCTTTCCTGAGTTCAAGTTTCTACACGCACATAGACACAAACAAGACTGAGTTATTACCACGCCAAGCTACTCAAATATACCCAATCTCCCTTGGTCCCCATAGGGACCAAGAACAATTTCTCACGCGCCCCATGGGGCAGGGCAACCTGATCATTAGACATGCAATGGACACATGAACACTACAATAAACACACACACACACATACCGCGCAAACTGCAACCAAGGCACCGACATCCCTTCCTGGTAAAGTGTCAAGAGATCTGCGCACACAGCATCATGCATCATGTCCAGCGAGACATCCCCAGCGTACTTCTCCCCTGGTAAAATACCAACAAGCATACGAGATCTGAAGCTGTGCCCTTGCGCTTTCAGCAAGGGTTGCCACGATATACACATGACCGCCCGGCGTAGCTTGCCCCGTCCCTCATCTCCGTGAAGGAGAATTGGGATACAATTGGACAAACATGCTCTGTGATCTTGAAATACAGGATGAGACGGATGCGTCCGTTCACATCTTCGCCAAAATTCACAGAAGGCACCTTTCCACAACGCAGCTTCTTCAAGGGCGTGTCCGCCCAAAAGAACATGACCAGTGCTTTTGTCGAGCATGAATCTCAAGAAGCTTGAGGGCAGCAACACTGGCCACGGCATGATGACTATGTCCCCTTTCAAGCGAACTGGTAGTTGAAGGTTTGTGATGGCCACTGGCAGGGTCATGTGGTATCGATGGATCAACCGGTGCAAGTTGCGACTCCAGTGGGCCGGATTCTTCCAGCTGGCTATTTTGCGTAGCAATTCAAAAGTACCTTTGAAGATGTATGAACGAAGACCAAAACCCTATATTTCATGCACACAGAGGTAAGCCCTGGACTGCCACCATCCTGGGCCATGTCAAACAGCCGAGTGAGGGAAACAATTTGTCGAGCAGAGTCCGCCTCAACAAGCCGCCAAGCCAAGATCATGAGTTTGTGTTGCACTTGCGATCATGTCATGCTGAGTCAAGCACACCAGTAGCAAAGCCTTCCAGCATGCCCTCCAAAACCCTTTCTTCTACCATGTCCACACTGCACCGGTGCGATCCCAAAGGCCCGCTCTTTGCACCTTGGAATTGCAAGACAATTTCGCACAATGCAATAGAAGGCTGTTCGTTGGTACCCTATCTCTGTTTGCCATACACCCATGAAGCCGTGCCACACCCTCTGGAACTTGCCCTTTTGCGCTTTGAGCCTCATGAAATTTCATAGAAAGGCCAACCCTGTCACAACTGGCTTGACCAGTGGACCCGTGCAAAGCAAGACAAGCCTTCTCTTCTCGACCTGAGCTACATCAGCTACACACTGACGTATCACAAACAGGGCGTACATGTATCCGAGAACGTGACACAGCAGAAGCTTCTCTGTCGTCTTGCTCACCTTGCAGCATGCCTGCCCAAGGTGTCCATGCGCGCACAGTCTTTAGAACTCACACACAGGCAGAAGCACGATTGTATACACGATCAAGACAGCCGGCACGCACTGACACTTCAAGTACTTACACTCAGGCTATTTTCCAGACGCAGCAAGTTTATCAAAAATCTGGATGCACTTTTGGCAGCCTGCTTTGTGCGCCTTTTCCAGACACTCAGACATAAACACACACACAAACATACGCCCAGAGGCCATTAGGACAACCGCATATTATCAGAAAGTT